GATTCCAGTTTGTGCTTCATCCAGCCCAGTGTCTCTCATGATGTACTCTGCATATAAGTTAAATAACCAAGGTGACAATATACAGCCTTGATGTACTCCTTTCCCTATTTGGAACCAGTCTGTTGTTCCATGTCCAGTTCTAACTGTTGCTTCCAGACCTGCATACAGGTTTCTCAAGAGGCAGGTCAGGTGGTCTGGTTTTCCCATTTCTTGAAGAATTTTCCAGTTTGTGGTGATCCACATAGTCAAAGGCATTGGCATAGTCAATGAAGCAGAGATAGATGTTTTTCTGGAACTCTCTTGCTTTTTCCAGCAGATGTTGGCAATTTGATCTCTGGTTCCTCTGCCTTTTCTAAAACCACCTTGAACATCTGGAAGTTCATGGTTCACGTATAGTTGAAGCCTGGCTTGAAGAATTTTGAGCATTACTTTGTGAGTGTGTGAGATCAGTGCAATTGTGCAGTAATTTGGCATTGCCTTTCTTTGGGATTTGAATGAGAACTGATCTTTTCCCATCCTGGGCCACTGCTGAGTTCTCCAAATTTGCTGGCATATTGAGTGTAGCACTTTCACAGCATCATCTTTTAGGATTTAAATAGCTCAACTTGAATTCCATCACCTCCACTAACTTTGATGCTTCCTAAGGTCCACCTGACTTCACATTCCAGGATGTCTGGTTATGATTATCTGTGTCATGAAGATTTTTATTGTACAGTTCTTCTGTATATTATTGCTTCCTCTTCTTAATATCTTCTACTTCTGCTAGGTTCATACCATTTCTGTCCTTTATTGAGCCCATCTTTGCATGAAATGTTCCCTTGGTATCTAATTTTCTTGATGAGATCTCTAGTCTTTCCCATTCTACTGTTTTCTTCTATTTCTTTGCACTGATCACTGAGGAAGGCTTTCTTATCTCTCCTTGCTATTCTTTGGACTCTGCATTCAAATGGATATATCTTTCCTTTTCTCCTCTGCTTTTCACTTCTCTTCTTTTCACAGCTATTTGTAACGCCTCCTCAAACATCCATTTAGCTTTTTTGCATTTCTTTTTCTTGGGGATGGTCTTGATCCCTGTACAGTTGTCTCCTGTACAATGTCACAAACCTTTGTCTATAGTTCATCTTGCACTCTGTCTATCAGATCTAGTCTGTTAAATCTATTTATCGCATCCACTGTATAATCATAAGGAATTTGATTTAGATCATACCTGAATGGTCTAGTCATTTTCCCTACTTTCTTCAACTTAAGTCTGAATTTGGCAATAACACACTACAATGCATTTAAAAGGATTAAAGTCAAAGATACTGTGTTCTCTAAATTAAAATTCAATAATATTAAAATATCAATAAAAACTCAAAATATTTGCAAATTTGTCAATATGACTTCTAAAGTATCTGTGGGTCAAAGAAGAAATCACAAGAAAAATTAGAAAATATTTCTAACTGAATGATAGTATAAGCACAATATACCCAAATCTGTGAGCTGTAGTAAAAGCAGCTATTAGAAGGAAATTTATAGATTTAAATGCTCACATTATAAAAGAAGAAAAGCCTAAAATCAATGTTTCAGGGTTTCAAATTAAAAAGTTAAAAAATAAAGTAAACTGAAAGTAAGTAGAGGAAAAAATAAAATAGTAAAAATCAATTAGAAATCAAGCAGTCATAATTGGCAAAGTGAAAAGCATATTTTTATTAAAAGCAAAAAAATCAATAGATTCTTTCACAGAAAGAAAACAGACACTGCAGATCACTGATACCAGGAAAGAAGACATTAAAGGGATAAGAATGGAATAGTAACAACTTTTTGCCTTTAAATGAAACACCTTAAACAACAAATTCCTGGAAAAATACAATTTACCAAAATTACCAGAGAAGGAAAAATATGAGTAACTCAGTATTTATAAAACAAAGTCATTTAGTATCTAAAACTGTCCCACAGAGAAATCTCAGGCCCAGAAAACTTCCCTTGTAAATTTCAACAAACATTCAGGGAAGAGATAATACCACTTATACATAAAGTCTTATAGAAAATAGAAGAGAAGGGAACACTTTCCAACTTCTTTTATGGGACCAGCATAACCGAAATACTCGGCAAAGACATTACAAAAGAATGAAAATAATAGACTAATATCCTCATGAACATAGACACAAAACTCCTTAATAAAATATTAGCAAACTGAATTCAACAACATATAGAAAGGATCACACACTATAACTAAATGTGTTTATCTTATGACTAAATTGTTGATATAATATTTGAAAATACTATTAACAGCAGAATTTTTAAAAATTAAGAAAGCTCATGGAGAAATAAATATGCCTAAATAAACAAATTATTTAAAAAAGAAGATTAATAAGATGGGAGTAACTCTAGCAGATATTAAAATGGCAATAAAGTGCTTTAATAATTAAAAAGCATTTTGCACTCTAATAAAGAAATAAGTGAAATGGGTAACTCAGAATAAACACAAATACACATGGTAAAATACAACATTTATTGATAAAGGGGAGAATTGAATAAATGATATTGAGAAATCTAGTCTGCCATCTGGATAAAGAAATAAAGTTGATGGCTTATCTTTTTCCTTACTTAAGATAAATTCCAGATGAAACATAAATTTAAGTATTTTTAAAAGTAAAATTCCTTGGTGGTCCAGTAGCTAAGATTCCATGTTCTCAATACAGGGAGCCCAAGTCTGAACCCTGGTAATGGAAATAGATCCTATATGCCACAACTAGAGATCTCACATGCCACAGTGAAGATCGAAGATCCTGCATGCCTCAACTAAATAAATAAACAAATAAATATTTTCAAAAAAAATTATAAAAACACTAGAAGTAAACTTGGAAATATATTTTGTAATTTCGTTGGTAGAGAAAACCTTTCTCAAAAAGAAAGAAACTTAGAAACTTACCTAAAACTCAAAGACAGTAAATACAGCATTAGAAAGTTAAAAGAAATATGATAAATGGGAAAAAATGTTGCAATAATATATGGCATAAACAGGACCAAGTTCCTTCATATATTAAGATCTCTTATAAATCAATTTAAAAAGATCAATGTTTCAATAGAAAAAAAAATACATAGTATGGCCAAAAATAGGCAGTTCACAGAAATATAGATAAAAATACTTTCTAACATAAGAAAAACACCCTCAACTTCCTTCAAATTCTAGTGATGGAAATTAAAATAAAAATATTTTTCTTCATCTCACTGGCTAAGAAAGAGTTTCATAAAACACAATCTTGTTGAGGGTACATGAGAAAGGATTAATACTTATGGGAGCATAACCAGCTGCCACCTGTTTAGAAGGCAATTCAGCAGCATCTATCATTAAAATTCACAGGACTTTTGTCCTCATATTTCCACTTGTGGAAATTTACATTACAAATATATTTGCATACTTATGCAAAGTCCTGTGTTGTTGTTGTTATCAGACTCTTTGAGATCACACAGACTGTAACCCACCAGGCTCCTTTGTCCATGAGTACTGGAGTGGGTTGCCACTTTCTTCTTCAGGAGATCTTCCCAACCCAGGGATCAAAACCTTGTTTCCTGCATTGGCAGGCAGGTTCTTTACCACTGAGCCACTAGCGAAGCCCATTGCTTTGCTTTTAGTAGAAAAGATTAAATGCCCATTAATATGGGGCTCGGTAAATAGATTAGATTTGAATATTCTGCAATATTAAAAAGACTGAAGTTAATCTTTCCATGATTATATAATAGTGTCTCCAAGGTATATTTTTGGGTAAAATAGCTTGAAGCAAAGCATTTTATGGTATGTGTACCCACTGTAAAATAATTTGTGATAAATATTTGCATTGATAAATATTATAAATATATAAAAACATACATATGTTCACAAAAGACAATTTTATCCTTATATATTTACAGTCTATTTTTCAAAGGGAAAAAAAACATGAAACTGTTGATTATCTCCTATGGAGATAATTCTGGAAAACTTAAGGTTTGGGATAGGAGAGAGATGCTGACAGTAACTAATTTTTGTGATATTAAATATATGTTTACAATGTGCATATGATATTGAAAAATCCACCAGTTCAAAAAGTTAGTGGACTGAATCAATTGTTTCTAGCATCCATGAAAAGAAGAAATAAAAAATAGGTCTTTAGTATGGTATGCTTTATGAAAAGAAAACCAATCACTTGATCAACCTATGCTTTTTTTCAGAATTTTAGATTTTTCAGTTCTTACTATATACTATGCCCAATACCAGGTACTAAAAGAACAACAACAACAATAATCAAAGATACCTGCCCTCAATGAGCTTACAGTTCAGAGGAAGATGGCTATCCTCTGGCTCAGACTTAAAATGTCGAAGAAACTTCTGAGCCCATCTCAAGAATTTACTCAGTTCAGCAATCGTCTGCCATAAAAGTCATCAGGTGTCCTGGTAATTGTCAATATCTCCAAGATAGCTGGCGTCCCCTCCACTAAATCTCTAAAGAGACTTCTTTCAAGAAGTGCTATTAGCTCTCATGGGTTCTGTCCATTACACTTTAGAGAATAATTTAATTTCCTAGAGGCATTTCACTTTTTCCCACCTTCATTTCTTTGACTTCTCTCTTCCTTCTGCTTGGCATACTCTTAAGCTTTTGTTCTTCTGTGACTGACTCCTACCCCAAGTCAAACATTGCCTCAAGTGCTTCTCCAGGAAAGCTTCTCTGATCTCTGTCATATGAATTAGGTTAGTAACATTTCTTCCATGTTCCCGCAGCTCTTTCCACTTTACATTCAACCATTCACTTGTCAGGTACTCATATTAAAGTACTATGTAAATTGTGAAATGTTAAAAATTGTATCTATGAATATCTGACATAGAGTAGGAACTCAGGATTGTTTGATAAATTCAACTACAGCTTCCCCGTTCTCCCCTGATTTCTCCCAGGTTACAGTACTGAACTGAACTTTGTGATTGCTTTCCCTGCATGCCCCAGCCCCACTGCACCATTTTCCCAAGTCTAGGACCTCACACTCACTTGTCCAGTGACATCGCAGGGAAGGAAAACTTGCCCAGGCAAATGCGATAGACAGCACTCAGGGGAATCCATTTCAACTGCACACAGCAAAGCATGATGAAGTCATATTTGCAAATTAAGAGAGTCTTGTCTGTGATCAGCAAAATCCTCTCCTTCTCATTGTTCCAGTGGTCTATCCTGTAAAAATGACCACAGAGAAGAAAAGTCGATGGCATAATCTTTCCAAATTAATCGTCTTCACTGAAACATCTCTACCAACACAAAAAAATGATGAGGTTTATCACCTTGGAAGAAAGAGGAGCTGAAGAAAGTCATCCTCTTTCTCGTTCTGGCCTCATGACCAAGGAAGGAGGGAGGGAGAGGATCACAGGAAAATGTTTTATGCCCGCAGAGCTCAGAGATGATTATCATTGACAGGTTCCATCAGGGCAATAGCAAGATGGTATCACATTGGCAGTCAACTGATTCATGCTCCTCCACATCTTCCCAGTTCTCTAGAAAACCTTCATGGAGCCCATCTTTCTCAAAGGACATGAAATATGTCTCGTAATTTCAACTTAATCTGGACAACTAAGTGTTGGTTTATGCTAATCTTCAAAGGTCAAATTGCTGAATGAAGATAAAATGGAGACTTGAATATAGGTTCACTGACCCCAGCCCAAGTTATTCTATTATACTGAGTTCATTTTCTCATTTTCCTGTGTGGAAACACAGTGGAATGAGTGAAATATGATTCTTAACCAAAGACAAAGCAGACACTAGGTAAGTGTTTACTGAGTTGATTTGCTTCAGATTTCAGAGTCTTTCAGGGTATGCAACGAAATTTTCTGAGTTAAGAATCTATTCAACAGAGAGAACAGGAAAGAGTGAAAGCCATGGCTTCTGATTTTAAAAAAGTGAGCATGGTCTGAAAGTCCTCTCATCCACAGTATTTGCTGTCTGTCTGCTGCAGCCTTTGTATATATCACTGCATGATGACTTGTATTATAACTTTTTCAGTGCATATTTTGTCTCCCTCAGAAACTGGAAAGGATGATTGGGCTTCCTTGGTGGCTCAGATGTTAAAGAATCTGCCTGAAATGCAAGAGACCCAGGTTCAATCCCTATGTCGGGAAGGTCCCCTGGAGAATGGAATGGCTACTCACTCCAGTATTTTTGCTTGGAGAATTCCACAGAGAAGCCTGGCAAGCTACAGGTCATGGGGTCACAAAGAGTCAGACACAGATGAGCAACTGAGACTTTCATTTTACTTTCAAGAGTCTGAAAAGAATAATTTGTGACTGATACATATCTGAATTCCCACTACAAATCATCAATCTAATGTAAAGATTAAGACTGGTCACCCTGTTCCCATCCATTCTCACACTGAACCTCAGTGCTATTCTTAAAATACAAAAGGACTGATGTTACTTCCCTGTTGACTTTATTAAATGGCACCCTTTCAGTTTCAGGATCAAATCCAATGGTCTGGCATCTGCCCAGCACCATCTCACAGCAGGCTGAGAAAACTCGGTGTCCAAGTCATGGCTTGAATGCCTCATTCAAAGATTTCTTCAACTCCTGTGTGAACTTGTATCCCCATTACATTTTTCAAAGCATTCTGATCCATTTCCGTTTTCAGCTCTTACCATCATTTGTAAGAAGGAATGATACGTAAGAGGTTTAGTAACTGATACCGTGTGAGCCTTGACAAGTCAGAATGGACATCGAAGTACAGAGGCTAGGGCAATTCCAGTGATTCTGGTCTAAGAATCATCCCTACGTGTGTGTGTGTGCACGCACGCATGCACACACACACACACACACACTCCATGAGGGTAGAGCCTGTACAAGGCTATTTAATCTGTTCCTGTCAAATAGCCTGCAATAAATAAATATCTGTTTTGATAACTGATTGCCAATCGTAAGTCTTTTGGAGGCCTTTAGGTTGGCTGAGTGTGGGCGTGAAAACAACCAGCTCTGCTAGTGACAGACCTTGTAAGATTGGACATTGAGCCTGTCTGTAGTTTGCATTCCTTGTCTGTGAAATGGAGACAGTACCAGTACTCATCTTATAAGTTTGGGGAGAGGATTCAGGGACAAACTTCTCAATCAGTGGTTTGTAAAGGAGCTGTTACTATCTTTGGCAGGGAAACAGCAAACCACTGCAGTATTCTTGCCTGGGGAATTTCATGAACAGAGGAGGCTGGCAGGCTACAGTCCATGGGGTCACAAAGAGTCGGACACAACTGAACGACTTACACACTTAAGTGACTAGGTGACCTTGGGTAACCCAATATATGCCCTTCCTCAATATAGTTCAAAGACAGGCAAGACAAAGTTAGGATTTAAATCAATGGGAGAAGGAGCAGAAGAATACATGAAGAAGAGAAAAGGGGAACTGAAGGAGGAAGAAATATTGAGAAACAGACATAGAAAGAAAGAACCATGAGGCTGTGGCCTTATTATATTCTGGTCATTATGCACGTACAAGTGTTAGCTTTGCATCTCCCTACCTCCCTTGGAAGAAGGTCACACCTACAGTCATTCAACTAGAATATGGAGATAGAGTTAGCACTGGAGAGTCAAGAGATCTGGTTTAAATCTTGGTCCTATGGCTTCCATCCACTCCAACGATGTTGCAAGACTCTACTCCACCAAATGAAGAGAGAATTCTCGATAATCTGTTTAACACTCTGTCTTAGGCAGAAAAAGATGAGGATTCTGAAACGTTTTATCAGCTATCTACATAAATTTCTCTAAATAGATTGTATCTACTTAGCAGCAAGTTATAAGCTGTGCCTAATAAACCAGGCTTGTTTTTAGTCTAAAATATCCTCAGATTTTGGTTGAAGGTTTTACTGAAAATGTCAGCACTCCATAATGAGATTTATTTTAAAAGGTAAAGGATGGATTCAGGGGGAAAAAAAGAGTTCTTTTTAGGAACATGGAGTGCTCTGCTGTGACACAGACTCTGCATAATTTTCATGTCGGGAAAGTCGGAATCCAAGTAAACACACAGGCTTATAAATAGTTTGGGGCCACCATCTCTAGCTTCTGGGTGGTATATTTACTTATTTAGACTTCAATCACACCTTTTCTTCCCAAAGAACTCTTGGAGAAAACACTGAATTTTATATTCCTAGTATTAATGTAATTTAAGTTTGGTGGTAATATTCAAAACAAATATAGGCATAAGAATATCAATAATGATTCTGTGCAACTTGTGGAGGATCACAAAGCCCTTGAATATCAATGCTTTTGTTTAATCTTCCCAACAATCCTTTGGACTAGATGCTATTAGCTTCATTTTAAAGATAAAAATACGAAGATCCAGAGACCATTACAATAAATGACTTGCCCAATGCTTTACACAGAGCAAACAGTAGTCCAAGGACCTGAAATAAGTATGGAGACAGCAAATCCAGGCATAGTGTTAGCTTTCTCCCTGGGACCACGAACACTTAAATAAAGGACTTTTCAGCATGGTGTACAAGTGTGGTAAAAGCCACCTCTGGAAGGAGCTGATGTGATGGTCTATGCCCATCCTGGAATCACTATCTCTGTGAAACAGCATCCATGACCATCCTCTCCAAAGCTTGACTTCTTTCAGCATTCTCTATCTTAGAGGGAAATCCTCCTTAAAGACTCCTAAGAAAGACTTAGGAGTCTTTTTTCTCTCATTTCTTCACCTCACATGCTAAGTCCTAAACATTCTACTTCTCAAATAGCTCTCAAAACTACTCACTTCTCTCCATCCTGACTTTCAACATTCTAATCCAGTCTTCCCACATCTCCTGCCTGGACCACTGCAGTCACCTTCTCACTGGGCTTGGGCTATTAGCCACCTGGACGTGGTTTATCTACACATTTTAGTTCCTTCCCAGCCTCATCATGATACTGCAATGAAGCAGACCAGTTTAAGAATAAATTTGGTCTCTACCTCCCAACTCTGGGTTCAAGTACTTCAGTATCTCTCCATGGTTCTTAGGAGAAATCACACACACACACACACACACACACACACACACACACACAATCACCTAGTCTGAGGTTCTGCAGAGTTGGACCTTACCTATTTCTTCAATGCTATTTCAGGCCAAGTCTCTGCACTCTTTTCTCCGGGATCTTTTTTCAGTTTCTAGGACTCACCATGCCTAGCCCTACTGAAGGGACTTGGCCTGTGTTATTACCTCTGCCAGCCACGTTGTTCCTGATCTTCTTTACCTACTTAAGTCCTACAGTGCTGAGCTCAATTACTCCTTACTCTGGCAAGCTTTCCCACCTCCATGACCACTTCTCCTGTTTCTAATACGTACTTTCATAAACTTCACGTCTCTCCTCCACAGTACTTACCCCAGATGCAATTGTATAGTTATTTCTGTGATTATGTAATTAATGTCAGTCTCCTCTCCTATCCTGTAAACATCATAAAGTCAGGTCTTATCATTATGTCTCCAAGGTAGTAGGCTTCCCCAAAATAGTTCTGAAATGAATTAGTGAAGAAGTAGCAATTCCTTGAGAGGGGAGCATTGAAATATATACATTCCCCTGTGTAAAACAGATAACCACTGGGAATTTGCTGTATGACACAGCAGCTCAACCGAGTGTCCTGTGACAACCTAGAGGGGTAGGATGGGGTGGGAGGTGGGAGGGAGGTTCAAGATGGGGCACACATGTATATACCTATGTCTTATTCATGTTGATGTATGGCAGAAACCAACACACTATTGTAAAGCAATTATCCTCCAATAAAAAATAAATAATTATTTTGAAAGAATTATTAGTTCTTATGTAGTGCAACCTACAAGCTTTGCCTCATGCTTCTTGAAGAATCTTATCCTTTTGTTTGCACATTGAAATAATCCCCCATAAAATAGCACATTGCCAAAAAATAAATAAATAAACCAGTAACATTGGGAAAATGTTCATACCAAAAGAATGAGGAAGGGCAGGATACAAAATAGCACCTTCAGTGTACTTCCAATTTTGTAACAATGATGACAAAAAAATATGTACATCAAAATGTGAACACTGATCATTTCTGAGTGGTAGGATTTCAAGTGACTTTTGTTTCTTCTCATGCTTTCATTGATGATAATGATGAAAATCACTCAGTTGTGTCCAACTCTTTGCGACTCCTTGGACTATAGCCTGCCAGGCTCCTTTGTCCACGGAATTCTCTAGGCAAGAATACT